TATATATATATATATATATATATATGTTCATCAATCTACATGCTCACGTTCCTCTTCATATCGGTATATACAGGTTCGCATCCATATTCGAATCCATAGCCACACCCATGTTCATATCCATAATATTCGCATTGAAAACTCCATATTTACACTCAGATCCGCGTATGCCTATTCAGATCCGTTTATTCATATCCATACCCATATGTTCTTATCTATACACTGATCGGTTCATTTCCAAGATCTATATCAACGTACCCACATTCACACTGACATTCAGATTCACACTCACATTCACATTCATACTCACTAGTAATATTCACGCCTAAATTCACAAATTCACTCAATCATATCAATGTGCATGCATTTATGTATATGTGTATTCAGATTTATACACTCTCGTATTGGCATTCGAATCCTCATTAGTATTCACATTCCTATTTACACGCTTGCCCAACAGGTGCCTCTTAACAACTTTTCCCACGTGAAAGCTCAGTGTACACGAGCCAAGCGCCACAGGCACAGCCGAGTTTACGGTGAAGTCCTTGACGAGGGAACAAGGAAGAAACAGGAGAGGGTCAACTGCAGTAGTAATGGCATACGTCTATTGTAGTACGAAGTGCCTCGGTGACAGCATTTTGTTGCCACCCGCAGCTGCCCTGCGCTGCAGCACTAGCACCATAACCACCAGGTGCCGCAGCGACGGGAGCAGCAGCTCGCATGGCTGCAGCCAGAGGCCCAGGGCATTCGAAATAGCAGTAGGGGAAGAAGCCGTGGACGTTGCACATAACCGACTGCCCCCCAGCGGTTACCCCGTAAAGGCGAACCATCGGGAAAGTGGTGTTTCCCCGCGCCGCCTCTGCTGCACACAGCGAAGAGGCAGTCACTATGCTGGGTGGAGGACGAACTGGTGCTCCTGCTGATCCTCCTGGTGTTCCGTTCACACCTGCTGCGGCACCTGGTGCCATCGCTGTTGCTGACCCAGCGCCATTAGAGAGCCCTTCCTGTTGCAGTTTAAGAGGCCGCTGCAAGATCGTCTCCGGCACGGAATGTCGAAATGCTGTCGCTGCGGCGACGTCCAGCTGGAAGAAAACTACGGAGATAATACAAACACATCTACTGAAAACACAAATATATGACGGTCCATACAACACCAGATGTAGAAACGCAATACGTGCATACCATGTGTGGAGACAAATAATACACACAAAAAATGCTTTTACATAATTCCGCGCAGCAGCAGTTCACCAAGAGGCATGCACATATGCGCAAGTTCATGCTCACACTGACGCCTGGATATTCATATCTGTAAAATTATATTATATATCTGCATTTATACATATTCATAGGTGCGGGCATATATTTTGAGAAGACAAAGACAGGTGTGCCTTCCGGCCGCCTGGCTGGCCTATGCCAAAAGTCGGCTGTAGTGGGAATGAAGAAAAAGATATGGCGTACTCAAATCCTCTTCGCCTGCAGAAGCAGAAATACGCAGAGGCAAATCGAGTACTCAGCAGACAGACTTGTTCATTGGCTGCCTATCTAACAAGCTTGGGGGAATAGGCAACACCCAACATTTCCATATCCCAAAGTGCATAAAACAGCAAAACGCATCCGCGCGCAGTAACACAGCTGTCAAAAAAAATTCGTCTTAAGTCCTTTTACATAGACTGCATGTGCAGGACAAATTCTCACCCGTTCCCCTTAGCTGGTTGCAGCCCTTTGGGGTGTCCTCCCGACGCCAACTCTTAAGGAGACGCGCCCACACATCTTCAGCAGCGGCGCGGGATGGCCCCGATTTTTCAAATCCCAGCACAGAGGAAGTCATTTCAGAAGGGGACCCTCCAGAGGCAACCGCCCCGCCCCGAACTGCAGCCGCCCCGGCCATCCTCCGCAGGCCTCAGGGCTTAAATGCTGTACTCTGGGCGCAGACCCTCTACTAGTGGGACGATGGAATGAGTCAGCACTGCACCAAGTCGGCCTGATGTAGACAGGGCTGAAGTCCTGAAGGAAAAAGGAAGGAAGTGCCAGATTCCCGATCGGGGGGCCGCGGGCTAAAGCGAGGATTTGCTCCGAAAGAAACGGGTTAGGGCTCGTATACGAATAGAAATACGCGAAATCAGATGAGCTTTACAAAAACACTTCGTCCAGGGGAAATGGAGGCGCCTCTTTCCTCTAGCGCCCTCGACGTCTGTCTAGGCCACACACAACAACCTCTACGGAGCGTTGGTGGTAAGCAAGCGTCTTTTGTTTCCACAACCTGAAACTTCACAGAGATCAAGATGAACTTAAAATGCCAAAGACAGAAAAAAAAAGGAGGCGCAAGCCCTAGAAGGATCCAAACACTAACTCCGCGTGAATCGACCCGGTGGAAACACACCGACAGAGCGCGACGGGTGGCTGAAAGTTGATTCTAGGATTTTCGCCATTTGTGAGCTCATATTGGCTTCTTAACAGACTTGAATAGCCGGTTGGCATTAACGGATTAACGTGTCTATACGAATTCTCTCAACTAAACTGTTTAGACCCTGCGGGGTTTTTTTCTCCGCTTCCTCAGGCGCATGCAGTGGGCTCGGTTTCTCTTTGCTGCGCATCTTCTGTGAATAAAGGAGAGGCGTCGGCAGCGCTTCAATCACTTTTCCCTTCCAGTTTACTGCGTTGCCTCCTCTGTGCACTCTCGTCCAATGAGCTCTGCCAGGCCCACAGAGCCGCGGGAATCCCCCGCGACCAAGCCGACATGTTCAGCGATTTCCAAGGCGAGACCGTTCATTGTCGGAGGCCTCTCTGGCTGTATAGCCACTTGTTGCATTCAGCCTGTGGACATGGTTAAGGTTCGGCTGCAACTGGTGGGGGAAGGCGGCGCCAAAGCGTCAACGAGCCCTGTTCAGGTTCTAAAAAGCGTTCTCAAGAACGAAGGCGTTCTCGCATTGTACAAGGGTCTCGACGCCGGTATCACACGTCAGGTGCGGCTGCTGCTGATTTGTTGCCTTAACGCAGGCCCAAGCTCAGGCACTCGTGTCAAGTCAACTAGTAGCGTTCACGAAGGTGAAATTCGCTGTAGGCACTGCAGGACAGCTGCCTCTCATGTGCGCTTTTTGCCATGTCTGGAAGTGCGCTTGCTTCTGCTGTGTTGTGGAAGAACAGTTGACATACTCTACCGCCCGCCTTGGGCTCTTCCGAGTCTTTTGCGACAGACTGAAAGAAATGTCAAGGAGTGCAGACCCCACAGCCCCACCTCCGCCTCTCCCGCTTTGGAAAAAGGCAGCAGCTGGCCTGGCTGCAGGTGGAGTTGCTGCTGCTGTTGGGAATCCAGCAGACCTCTCCCTGATACGCATGCAGGTTGGTAGTACCATTTTGATCGCATAAACACCGCCGCCGGTTTGCTGATCAACATGTGACACAGTAACCACTGACATTACTCGGGAGTGTGAACATGCCCCACAGGCTGACGCAACACTTCCGCCTGAATCTCGACGCAACTACACGGGCATATTTAACGCCATTTCGCGGATAGTAAAGGAAGAGGGGCTTCTAGGCCTTTGGCGAGGCAGCTTCCCCACAGTTTTGCGAGCCATGTCGCTGAACATGGGTACGCATTGCGGTTTCAGAGTCCCCTATAACCATATAGACACTAACCTCTCCCACCTCCGCTCCCCAAGAAACATTGGACATGCACTTTAATTCTTGCGACCTACAATCGTTGCAGGAATGCTAGCGACGAATGACCAGTGCAAGGAAATGCTTGCTCCAACTTTGGGTGACGGATGGACAACGACATTAACGGCAAGTGCTATCTCGGGCTTTTTCGCGGTGACATTCTCACTTCCATTCGACTTCTTAAAGACACGGTGAGACTTTTTTAGTTGTTGGAACCAGTCCATCACAATTCCGTTCTTGGTTTCCATGCCCATGCTAACGCTTTTTTCTTCCGTGTGCTTGAATTAGTGATCTAGTTACCCTGTTGCTTTGGATTGATGCAGCCTGCAGAAAATGCGCCCTGATCCGGTGACGGGAGAGTTGCCATACAGAGGTGTACTGGATGCTGCAGTGAAGATCACTCGCACCGAGGGTATCACCGCATTCTACACAGGTTACCCGACGTACTACGTAAGGATCGCGCCGCACGCGATGATCACGCTTATTTGCATGGATTATTTGGACAGAACGTTCAGGCGATTTTTCTAGACGCTCAGGATAGCGTTTGGAACATGGATGTAGATGCTGCAACCATCATGCAACTACGTCTCAGACCAGAGTACACCGCGCCCGTTTCTGAGTGAAATAAGACTCCGAGCTTCAATGCAGTGCACCAGCTTTGGTGACTCTATCCCGAAGTGGAAGGACTTTTTTATGGTGTGGAAAACTATTTCACGTTGATTCTACCCATGGTAGGTTTTGTGTAGATATTCAGGCTAGTGAGGCACCCGCGAGATGCTGGGCATGAGAATAAAGGCAGTAGGATTGCCCTGTGTTCGTCTTTAGTGTAGAACAGCACTTAGTTGATTCATTCTCATCGTTTTGTCATTATTCGCACTAATTAGTCAGGACAGACGAAGATTGCGGCGTCAGCGCCGCATTCTTCAGCCGAATTGAAGACCCGTATGACTTCGTGTAGCAAAGCCACATCCGGCACCAAGAGCTGGCACATCCCAGGCAAAAACCGTTCCACTTAAACTACTGTTGCTGAAGGAAACGAAGCGCGTTAGGCGATGACTCCTGTGCCCAAGGGGTATAATTGCCCCAACAGTATTGCTTCAAATGCTTATTTGCGCACACCGATGCGACTCACTTGAACTGTTGTGGGGGTTTCTTGAGGCAAATATGTATTTGCCTAAATACGGTTGCTGCTTGAATATTTCGTTGTTTCATTGCTTGGCAAAATGATTACCGCAGTAGCAGGGAGTTCCTATGTGCCCTTCGTGAATGACGGTACTACACCAGGAGGTATTGCTTTCTTACTTCTGGGTGCATGCTGTTGGCTGAGGCCCACAGAGAATCGTAGGACCACAGTCCGCCTCCAGGAAAGCCTACAGGAGCGTATTTGTGTAATGTGAGGCCGTTTGATGGTGTCGTATGTGGGTTAATACCATCGTCTTCTTCCTCATCGGCAGGGTCAACTTCTACGGTCTGAACTGTCAACTTGAGGCAACACGTCGGCCATTGGAGATTTCGTGACCTACCAGGCCTGTAACGCCAAACCTCATTTGGTCAGCAACATCGCCTATGCCTTCTGACATCTATTTGTAGCTGCGTTAACTGGTGGAACGTTGCGTCCAACGAGCGAGCAACTCACTTGTGTTTGCTTTTCATGAGCAGCAACAGCGTTTACTGTGGTTGTCTGCGAATGACGCAGTGCCAGAAGAGTCAACAAAGCAGTAACCCTTATCTTCGCTGCCATTGCAAGATCGATCGGAGGCTTCATGCAGAGAAACGCAGAAAACAAAAAGTGACACTCAGACCGATGTGAACCCCATGGAAGTGCTGTCCGTACACTTCATCCCAGCGTGTGCATTTGCGAATCTGTGTACAGACTAGAATTTGGAAATTTTTCTCACATTGTTACAGGGTCACAGATACAAAATAGTTTCTACGAAGATGAAGTCAGCACTTTATTTGTGTACAGCAGTTGCTGTTGTAACGCTTTCAGCCATTGGCTCGGAGAGCATTCAACATGTTCCTAAATGGGTTGATGAAGCCAAACTGGCGTACGCCGCCGAGGTCAAATCATCACTGCCTCCTCTGCCGGTTGTAAGCACTTCTACACTGGTTTCTTCTTTCCCTGTACTTCATGATTCCTCTACAGACCAAGGATTCGAGCGCAGCGTTTGTTGATACCCCGGCTCCAGTTGATATTGCAGCTCTGACTGCCGAGCTTGCACGGTTGGAAGAGTCCGAAGAAAAGTATGCAGCACACACAGCTTCCTCCCAAAATTCCCGCTTTAGACATCGCCAACAGGTTTCGTGGCGACCGTCGTGCAATTGCATTTTTCGCTGCACTTATCATGGTCGGAGTCTTTCTCATGTTCTACTTTACCACAACTCGGCTTGAACAGTCAATCAAAGAAGCTAGGTAGGCACACTTTTCCTGGGATGTTTTGATGCCGCAGGCTGTCATGCTTTGTCTGTGCCGCAGCAAACTTTTGGGACCCACACCTCGACCAGAAGCTGTGGACCTTCGCCTTTAGGCGAACAACTCGATAACAAATTTTCAGATTACAACAACATTGTTTGGCACGTAAAATGAAGTGCACGATTTGCCGAATTGTATATGTAAAGATGTCATAATAGATTTCCCTGCGGGCCTGTATATTCCCAGACCCGCATAGCTACAAATCAAGAAATCGACTAAGCGACTTCAAACTGTAACTAGTGCTGCCACTAGCAGAGAGCCAAAGACGTGCGCTTGGCTCGAAAAGATCTGCACGTACAATCTCGCTATATGCGGACAACTGCTTAAGAAAGCTACATTGACCCCAAACGGGTAGCAGCCCATTAACATACTTCCACCAAGACTCCCCAAAAAGGAGTGTTTACAGTCCAAACACAAGCCAGGACCACTCAAAATGCAAATTTCCATTTTTCACTGATGGCGCACAAGAACCTCGTATAGCATTCAGAGACCTCCACCTGATACAAAGTTGCGGAAAATAAACTGCCTTACTCTTCACTCGTCATCAGCACAGTGGTGCAGTACAACTAAAATTTTCTAGTTGGGCCCATTCAAGGGGAGTTCGCCCTACGTGCCAGAACGTGCCTGTGCAGATTGTTGCATCCTTCTCAGCACGGAATGAATGCGGAATAGTTGCTCACATTCAGACGGGTACCAATGTGCTACTCTGAGCAAACCGTGTAAGTATATCCATAGCAGGACGGACAAGCACGGCTGGATGCAGCTTTGTACCATTCGTATGCCCGCCCCTCCGCATCGTCCTGCCGCACGCTTGCTGGTCACGAATGATCGTCTACATGCAAGCCTCCCCAGTATAGATGTGCTATTACCAGAATAGCTTTTGCTCTATTCGGAAAAAGCGAATTTTCAAACAAGCCAGAATCTAAAAAACGCGATATACTAAACTTCACGCCGTGGTGCTACTGTGTGTAGCAAGCAACTCCCCTGAAGTGTATCTTCAGGGAGAATTAAACCACAAGAATAAGAATTATACATCCGCAAAGTATACTTAAGCTTCTGAACGCAAGTAACTGAATGTACACGCCAACAAGGCGACAAAAGGCAACGCAGTAACTGTAGCAAGGAGTTAGTTGTTGGACTTAAATCAGAGGGAAGGGAACGGATAGAGCAGTACAGCTTCTAAGGAATTTCAGAGGAGCATCCCTCTTGTGTATCGTGGGGTTTTTATTTACGTCTGACTGCGCAAGCTCATCAGGCGTCTAAGCGCCTACAGGTCAGCGCTGTAGTAGACGCAACGCGCCCGGGGCTGAACCACAACTAGCAAAACACGAAGTAGAAGTAGGGTCATGCATAAAAGATTTGTTTTGTTACCCGTTTGGAAGGTGGATCTAATTTGAAAGTCATTGGCGATATCGCCGGATGTCCCCAATGGTCGGCAGCCCAACACTTTCATTACCAAGCAGAAGAGTCCACTCAAAGACAGCGGGTCATAAAGAGCTCGCGTACCGATTATTGCCCTAGTGTCCCCCGAATACGAATTACGAACCAGCTTGTGACGAGCAAAGCCGTGATTATCCACTACGTGGTGTGGGGTTGCCCCCCCGCAGCCGCATGCAGCTATACGACCACGGGCTGCTGAGGTCTTGGCGAGGTAACTTAAAAATTTGTAGGGGTTTCCCTCGTTGCATATGGCAACATGCTGAATAGTGTTATGAGCCCGTCCTTTGTGAGTACATGATGGGACGAGCCTGAACGGGAGCGGAAAGTGCAGGGCCAAGGAACCCTCGCATGACCGCAGGCGGCGTCTTCCCGAGTTGGCATTTGTTCTCTAGCTTTTAATTATAAACGAGGGATGTTTTGTATGAGCAGCCTACCTTCGACGCCACCTGTTTGACCAGGGTCCACGGAGATCGAGGCAACGTCCCTAGGGACCGTAGCACAGTGGATTCAGCGGAATAGTTCGCCATTGGCCGATGAGGGTTCTGCGGGTGGCGTTGGTTTGTTCAGAGTCTTCAGCATCTGTTGGATTCCTCCCACCCTGTGTTCCGCGACGTCTTGTGCTACAAAGGGACGGCGGGGTGTAAGCGAGCTGCCGCTGCCAGCTCCCCCGTGTCTGCGGCCTTGCAGCATGAGCAATTCGATCTCCTAGGTGCCGGCTGTTGTTCCGTCTTTCGCAGCGCGATAGTTTTGACGGCTATGGGGTTATCTGAGGCGCCTTGGGGAGCGTTGTTGGAGGGGCTGTGGCGAGCGAGGTTTCCAAAGGTGTTGGGCGGTTTATCTGTTGTGTTGTTGGATTTGACGTTTTCGATTGGCTCTGGTTGGCGTATTGTTCGGCAATATTTGTGTGTGGGTGTGTTGTTGTTGTTATGGGGGTTAGTATTGGGTGAGAGTGTATCCCCTCCTATAGAGGGGTTAGGGGGGAGTTGGCCTGAGGGTTTGTCTATTGGGCCGTCTCAAGTGTTGTTGCCTTGGGTGCCTCCTTCTCATGCTTCAAATTTCCCTGCTGTGCGGGCTCAGCTGCAACTGGAGGGCTTTAATGGTTCGCCTCAGGGTGGTGCTGCAATATGCTTCTACTGGGTGGCCCAGAACCCGCAGGTGGTATCCCTGCTGCAGCCTGATTGTTCATCTGACCAGCCTGCAGCAGCATGCCGTTTGGATGGAGATGTGGGAAGGCGAGGAGGATCTATGGGCTCCCCACCTGTTCAAGGTTGGGTATCTGGAGGGAGGCCCTCTTGTTTCTCTCGCGTGTTGGTGGAGGCTGCTCCTCAGTCTTTAGGTCGTCGTGCGTCTTCCTGGGTTTTCGCCTCTGCTGAGCGTGGTTTAATAATGGGCGTTTCGGACCTATCCTCTGTTTCTTCTTCCTCTGAGGGTTCTTTATTACCAGCTGGTGGTGGTGGTGGCCAAGGTATTGGGGGTCTTCATAGGCGCGGCTTTAGGGCGCAGGTATTGGTTGCACCAATAGTACGATTAAGTTTTTCAACAAGAGATAAACGTCTTGCAATTGGTCAATTAGGAGATGTTAGTTTACTTGCATACGATGAGGAAGGGAATGTTTTCTCGTCTCTTGAAGGATTACCTTTTTCTTGGCATATTGAAGGACCTTCAGATGTTGTTGCAATAGAGCCTGTAGCAACAGATGCAGTAGCAGGCACACCAGCTCGCCGTCTTGTCGAGGCTCAGCAGCAGCAGCATCAGCAGAACCATCAGCAGCATTCGGAGGAAGGTGAAGTAGGTATCCGTTCGGATGCCATAGTATTGAGGGGCTTACGTACAGGACGAGTACTCTTACGAGCTCGTCTTGCATTAAAGGAATATGGTGATGTTGCAGCAGCAGAAGTTTCTTTTCTTGTCCATGAAGTTTTCTCTCTTCAGCCAACTCATCTTCTTCTACCACCGGCGGCAACATTCAATATTCGCCTACTTAGACTATGGGTTAGTACACAATATACTCTTTGTTTTTTGTCTATTAATTACTTTAATCAATTAAGTATATATATTTATATGTATTTTATATTAATAAATATATTAAGTACGTAAATATACTTAACAATTGCTTTAGTCTATTCATTAACTCTGTCTTTCATCTATTCATGAACACTAAGCAACACGCATTGGTTCTCTGTCAGTACTTAACACTTGTACCCCTGCGCCCTGCTACCGCTACTACTACTACTACTCCTACTACTACTGCTGTTCTTGGTGCTGCATGTGCTGCTGCTTTATCTGCTGCTGGGTGTGTTGCAGGAGGATGGCCGTCAAGAAGTGTTAAGCCTTCCAAATCCAGATTTCTCTTGGAGTGTTGAGCCTCTGCTGCCGGAAGATTCTGCTGCAGCAGCATCTGCTGCTGGTGCGTCGTTGCTGCAGGTCACAGACGAGGGGATTGTCACTGTGGGGTTGGTGCAGCAGGACAGCAGTGGCCTGCTGCCCTATCGAGGCTTTGTGAGCTGCCGAGACACCCGAACAGGAGAGCAACAGCAGGCAGATGTTGTTGTTGCCTTTCCTAAGACTTTGCATCTCTCTTACGAAGATACAGAGGCCCTCAACAGCCAGCTCCTCTGGCGCAGGGCAACAGCAGCAGCTGCTGCTGCTGCTGGCAGCAGCGGAAGCAGCAGTGGTGCAGCGGCGGAGAAGGCGCTCCTGCTGCGGCACTTGCTGCAGGAAGAAGATGCACTTGGAGTTGGGGGGGAGGGACCCTCTTCCTTGACTGCCTTGCGCCTTTCTCCCTTGACGAAAAACGAGAGAGCAGCAGCAGCAGCACCAGGAGGCGACGCGGCAGCTGTGGTATACTTAACACAGGGCAAGGAGTACCTATTGAAGGCAGAGTTGGGGGCCCCAGTAGAAGGGGGCGCCCGCAGCAGCAAAATGCTTCTCCCCCCCAATGCAGTGCTAAACTGGTCTTGTGCTGCAGCAGCAGAGACAGAAGCAGCAGCAGCAGCAGGAGAGGAAGCAGCAGCAGATGGCCCCTGTCCTTTCGAGAAGGTCGCCGCCCCTCAACAGGTGCGTCTTAATTGTTTTAATCGTTTTAATTGCTATTATTATTAATAATTGTTATTATTACTATTATTATATAATATAATAATTAATATATATATTGTGTGTGTGTATTGTATATTAGGGTTACGCCTTACTACGAGCTAACAGTTTAGGTGTTGGCCAATTGACGGTCTCCTTGGTGCAGATCGGTGTCCCTCCTGCTGCTGTTTGGAGACCCTTTGCTGTTGTCTCTGTCTCTCTTGTTGTTGTTGTTGTTCCTCCTGTCTCCTTCCGTTTGCTGCCTATACACCGTAGCACACAGCAGCAGGTAGAGGGGTTTGCTGCACTACCACGACTAGAGGCCCCCCTCCTCCTTGCCCCCAACTCCGCATTCCCCTTAGAACCCCAGGGAGGCTCAGGTACAACCAGCACACTTACCCCTAAACCCTGAACCCTAGACACTTGCAGGAGAAAAGGGTATGTACGGCCGACATAGGGGGGGTAAATTTATCTACTAAACCCCAAAGAACGACTGAGCGTGCAGCTTCAGCTGCAGTCTTTATTATCTAGGGTTTAGGGTTTAGGGCTTGCGGTATGTGTATGTGTTGGCCCTCAGGAGAGTATCTGCTGACTTCCCTCGACCCTTCAGTCTGCCGTGTGCTGCCTCCCGTTGGTCCAGTTGCTGCGCCCTTTTCCTCTTCCGGGTTGCTGCTGCTGCCCACAGCACAACAACAGCAACAGCAGCAGCAGCAGCAGCACTGGGTAGTTGAGGCTGAGGGTTTAGGAGTGGGGTCTGTGCTGCTGCAAGACAAAAGACAGCCACAAAATGGGCTGCTGCTGACAGTCATTGTTGCGCCTCCTTCCAAGGTTGAATTGCGCCTGCAGCATTTGCTGCTGCCGCTGCAGCAGCAGCAGCAAGGCAGAGAAGCAAATACTCCACAAGACGACAACACTGTACAACCTCCACATACACCTGAATATGCTTATAAATATACTCAAGAAGACCTCCCTCAACTGCCGGGGACTTCTATTTGCTGCCTGCTGCTGCATCTTCCCCTGTTTAATAGTAAATTAATTATAAGTAGTATTACTATTCTTGCTCTTATTGTTTATAATAATTGTGTCCTTGTTTTCTTCAGGCAATTGTTGTCGCCTCTGCTGACTTGTCCGTCTTTGCTGGCGTCCTGCCTGCAGCCAACAGACGCTGGCTCTCTCGCACCAACAGCAGCAACAGCAAAAGCAGCAGCAGCAGCGAGAAGGCTCCAGAAGGACCCGTGGAGTCGTTTGTCTCCTCGCAGGATTGGCCCAAAACTCTTCAAGAGGCACGCGATCGCCTGACAGAAGCAGCAGCAGCAGCAGCACATGGTGCAGCAGCAGAAGCAGCAGCAGATTCGCCAGTTGTTCATCCCTTCTGGATATCGCCAACGCAGCTAGCTGCCTGCCCAAGACCAACATTTGCTGTTGAGGGGCCCCCAGTTGTCTCCTTCACACACCTTGTGAGGCTCTTTCTCAACCTGCTGTTCCTTGGCTGCTACCTGTTGCTTGCTGCTGCTTGCTTGCTTTCTGTTTGCTGCTTGCTGCTATTTGTTTGTTGCTTTCAGATGCTTTTGGTGCTGCCGAGGCCGTTGTGGAGGTGGATAGGTTGTGTGTGTTGTTCGTTTTGCTGGTGCTGCTGTTGCTGCTGCAGGGTATGGGTGCTGTGCCATACACCTGTGGGATTGTATCCTTAAAAGGACTGCGCAAAGGCTCAGCACGACTGACAGCAACACTGCAGCAGCAGCAGCAGCAGCAGCTGTTGCTGCAGGCTTCTGCCCAAATAGACGTGTACCGGCCTATGGAGTTGTGGGCCATTCTCTCCTCCCTCTCCTTCCCCCTGCCGCCACCAGAGAGACTTAACACAGGGCGAGCAGCCCCGTTGCTGCAGCGGCTGACCAGGGACCCCAGCAGCAGCAGCACAGCTGCAGCAAGAGCAGCACAGGCCTCCACGCTGCAGCAGCAACTCGATCTCCGGCCTCCCAATGCACTAGCTGCAAGCACCGCCAGCAACATCCTCCACTATGGAGCACCTATCTCTGCCATCAGCAGCAGCAGCAACAGCAGCAGCAGCAGCGGCAGTTTGGGTGCTGTGGGGGAGGTGGCTTTGATGGTTGGGGGTTCTTTAACAGTGTTTCTAAAGGAGGGACCCCCTTCGAGGCCGGAGGCCTACAGACACACTGTGATTGCCACTGTGCGCCCAGCAGCAACAGATGCAGCCGCAGCAGCAACAGGTTCTGACAATGAGGAGGCGGCAGCAGTAGCAGTAGTACAGGAGGGTGGCGGTTTGCTGCAGCGTTTTGTGTGTCTTCGCGAGGGGCAAAATCCCCTGTTGGTTACTCTCAGCAGCACATACACTTCTAAAGACCCCAATGTCACGTAAGCAAGCATCTGCTGCTGTTGTTGCTGCTGTTGTTGTTGCTGCCGCTGTTTGTAGTTGCAGTGGGTATGCCAGGGGATATGGCGAATCGCGGAGTGCTGCAGCAAGTGCTGGTGGTGGTGGTGGTGGTGGTGGGTGTTGTTGCTTTGTTCCGCTTCTTGCTGCTGCTGCTGCATTATTCGTTGTAGTCGTATGGAGTGTATGCGCAGGTGCTCACGGGAGGAGACGGTGTCAGTAATGATATCCTGCCACTACCCCGAGTTGCTGCAGCTGCGGGCGTTGCCTTCCCTGTCCCGAGCTGTTGCTGCTGCAGGCCGTGGACAGCAGCAGCAGGAGCGTGTGGCTCTTTTGCAGGAGGCATTGGGGGGACTTCCTGTTGCTGCTGCTACACTGGAAGCAGCAAAGCCATCGTCTGCTGCTGCAGAGTTGTCAGCTAACAATGCAGATAGTCTGTATATACAGTGCGGCGCGCAGCATGCCTTTGGGCTGTTAGCGTATACTGCTTCCTTAAGGCCTCTTGTTGGTCTTGAGGCCCTCCCCACTCAGTGGAAGCTCACTCCCACGCAGCAACAGCAGCAGCAGCAGCATGGGGGCGAGCAGCCGCTGCTGCAGGTCCTGACTTCCTCAGCAGCAAAAGCAGCACCAGCAGCAGCAGGAAATGGATATTCATTGGCGTTGCTTGCTGTCTCACCGTCATTTTGCTGCGGCTCTTTCTCATTAGAGGTCGCCGTAAGACCGCCAACTCAAATCCCCGCAGACTTGGAGGCCGCCCTTAGTCAGCAGCAGCTGCTGCTGCTGCAGGCATCGCTGCAGCAGTGGGGAGCAGCAGCAGCAGCAGCAGGAGACCCGCACCAGAATTTCCCTCTATGGGAAAAGGGACAGCTGCGCGACAGTCTGCTGCTCATGCTATCCCCTCCCTTGAGATTGCTGCCTCCACCAGCAGCTGCCCCTCCCTCCTTACAAGCGGCGGCAACAGCAGCAGCAGGTAGTGAGCAGCAGCAGCAGATGCAGATTGTGCGACTGCCTTTCTTCCCAGGCGTGGCTTCTCGTCTGCTGCTGCAGTTCGGCAGTCCGGACATGGAGGCCGTGCGAGTTGTACGTCTGCTGCCCCTCGAAGGAGCATCAGCAGCAGCAGGACCTGCTGCTAGTGTGGTGGGTAGTGGTGAGCTGCTGACGTCGCGGGAAAGTCCTCTGCTCCAATGTCTGTCTCCTGCAAAGGCTTCTGCTCGACATGCGGCATTGCTGGCGGGGGATTCTTCAGCAGCAGCTGCTGCCGCTGCTACTGCGGGAGCAGCAGAGTATGGGAGTGCAGCAGACGTTGCATGCACGGGTTTGGGTGCGTCTATTGCTAGTGTGTGGGGTGTATCTTTGCCTTCTCCCTTCTCCTTCGGTCTTTCTCCTTTTGCTGATGTTTGCCCCCTCAGTATGAGGGAGTTATTCGTGCTGCCTCCCTCTCTTAAGGAAACAGACCCCATTCTGCAGCACCAGCAGCAGAAGCTACCATCGCTGCGCTTGGAAGCTTGGGATCAGAGGCTGCTGAGCCCGTGGCAGCCAAACAGCAACAGCAGCAGTGGCAATGGGCCACAGCTGTCTGTACAACTGCTCTTCGTGCGTCTGCGCTCGTTGCGTTTGATGCTGCTGCCAACATCGCTCTCAGCTAAAACAAAGCATAAGAAGCGGCGAGCAGCAGCACCAGCAGCAGAGTCAACAGGGAGCGGATGGTGGGGAAGGCACGCACATGTCTCGGAACAGCAGGAGCAGGAGCAGGAAGAGGAGGAGGAGGAGGAGGAACAGCAGCAGCAGCAGCAGGAGACACTGAGGGAGGTGGAGGCAGGCAAGGTGTATGGTGTGCGTGTTGAAGGTCTTGATGACGACGGCCTCCCCTTCGACCCGAGACTCTTGGCTGCTGTCCGCCTCTCTCTCATTGCTACTGCAGCAGAAGAGAACAGTAGCAGCAGCAGCAGCAGCAACGCCCAGGGGAGAGGCAGAATCTACCTCACACCAGCAGGAGAATACCTGCAGCAGAAGCAGCAGCAGCAGCAGGACGACGACACATTGGGCTTCTTTGGGGTGCATGCGTCTATCTCCGATACCACAGGAGCCCCTCTTGCCGCTGCTGTCTATGGCTCATCGCCAGCCGGAGCAGGAGCAGCAGCAGCAGACTTGGATGCTCCTGAGGACTGGAGGCGGCTGTCTTTGCTGTCAGCAGGAGAGAGAAATCGTTTTCATTTCTTCCTTGCAGCATCAGAAATGCGTGGTTCCTTCGTCTTGCATGCAGAGGCTCTTTCTGCCCTCCCTCAAGGTGCTGCAGCAGCAGGTAGTGCAGCAGGTAGTGCAGCAGCAGCAGCAAAGGTTTCTACTCGGCTGACAGTGCGGGTTCATCCGCCGCTGCAGTTGAGCCCCTCAGAGTTGGTGCTGCTGCCGGGCGGCCATTCCTTTGAGCTTACACTACAGGGAGGCCCAGAGGAGCTGCATCTAGACACACCAAGCAGCAGCAGCAGTGACGCCAGCAGCAGCAGCAGCAGCAGTGACCGCAAGGGAGGCCACGTGCGGCGGTTTGCTGTTGAGGATGAGAGAGTAGCGCGGATGTCTAAGGCCTTTCCTAGTTTGCTGCTGACGGGAGAAGAGGGAGAGACAACAATTACAGCTCTGCTGCAGCAGCAGACCAGCAGCAAGCCCACAGCAGCAGCAAGTATGC